GCCTAATGACCAAGTAGTTGAAACCCTGCCTGGACTGTTGCTTTAAATAGAGTGTCCCATTGCACGTCCTACATCGCACATCACGCGCTGCAACTCGTCCGCCGACTCTGCCTTCTTGCCGCGCGACGGGCCTCCTGGGGGGTACCCGATTTTTGACAGAAAGAGGAGTCTTGCGCAGTTTCACATGCATTGCCACGACGATGCTCCCTATGCGGAAGCGCGAGGAAAAGTTGTATAGCCCGCCATGCTTCCACGCGCGACAAACCTTGTCGAGTGCTTTTTGTTTGTTAACTGCTGTTTTAACGCCGCAGTTCGCGTTGCGAATGTTTCACAAGAATGCTGGGTTGTGAACAAAACTTTCGCCCCAGGCGGGACTAGAACCCGCACCTCTCGCTTTCCGGGCAAGTGCGCTACCAGTTACGCTACCGGGGCACCATTTCATTCCAACTCAGCTTTTCATGGTATACGTACCATAGCTTTCAGCACTCACACGTCTAACGTGTTGAGCCGGTTAGCCGATATCGGCAATGACCGCGAGGCTGAAAGCTTTAGCAATGAATTTTGACTTGTTTTGTTTGTTAACTGCTGTTTTAGCGCCGCAATTCGTATTACGGATGTTTCACAAGAGTACTTGGTTCTGCCCGATAAGCGAGAGATTGGTTCAAGTCCCGCCTAGGCGAAAGTTGTTCATGAATCAGTATTTTTGTGAAGCCATTTACAGCATGAATGTGCCCGAAAGCCGTTGTATCATATGAGTTTTTGAAGGATTGCTGCTCCCCATAGAAGTGGTGCTTATTGCTATGGCGTTAAGAAAATCGGAAAAACGGCCTACAATAAGGTAAGGCATTCGGAGTAATGATTGCATTGGTACGGCAGAAGAAGTTCGGACTTCGGAACGTTCTGGCTTACGATTAATCGACCTTTAAACCTTTTGAAATGCAGACAGGTGCACACTTCTGAAATACCAACATGAAACAATTTCTATTAAAGGACGAATTCACGATGGAAAAAGCAACCCATTTCAAATTAACCTAGGGATGGTGAGTGGTACACGAAAGAAGGAAAACCATGAGAAACGGCCCAGAACCCGAGAAATGGGACCCCTTCCTTGCCCGTTGATTTGAGCATTGATGGGACTCTCATCGCTTTGCCCTCTTCAACCCTACGCTCTCTCAGCTATCTAATCACTCGCCACCTATTGTACTACGGCGAGTGATCAGACGATCGGTGGGCGGAGATCGCCGAACTCGCCAACTTTGAGCCATGCTAGATCTCAGAGGTCAAATCTTTCGATGCCGATTGCGTGTCTGTCCGCACCCTCAAGAGATTCACCGCTCTCCCCACTAGGCGATTTCTCCCTTCTTCGACCTTCGTTCTTTCCGTGCAATCCTCCTTTAAGGAACAGTTCCAGGACGAATTTACGAGGTAAAAACCGTTGATGTAGTTATAGCCCACAATTTGACCGACAGTAATGAAAAACCAAAGAAAAACGCGGAATAAGGCTTTGAACAGGAACTCACCCTCTGCCCTTAGCGATGAGAGAAGACGCGTGCTGGACGAGTTGTCCGAACCTGCGCTCCAATTGCAATTGCTGGCAAATAGCCATAATAGTTGGCCATTTGCCAGCTCTTGCAATTGGAGTGCAATCTCTAGCTCATTCACTAACAGTTCGATCACCCCTCAAACTACTGCAATTCGACCCTTCCATTTAGCTGGGGAGCCCTTTCCATTTAGCTGGGGAAGCCTTGATTCCGCTAATAACTGA